GCAACGCCAATCCAATCTAATTGCAAAAATATCATGAAAAGGAAATTCAATAATGGAATCCTAACCTTTATTATTGAAGACCAGTGGCAACCCATTGATCGACCAATGCGAGATGATGATTTTCGAAGGAAGGAGATGAGGGAATTTCGTAAGAAGCAAGAGATTAGTTTAAGAGGAAAAGTGATAAAGTAGGGAATAGGGGAACGCGGGAGATGTAAAAGGCAAACAAAATTGCCTTGGTTTGCAGTGAAATAATTTGAAAGCTTCTTGGCCATTATTGGCCGCAAAATCAATTTGAAGGGCTGCGACAATTGATCCCTAGGCTCCGTTGGCAACAACTCAAGAGAGGATCTGAGTCCATAATGGAAAAGAATCATCTCCGAATCCCTTTCACCAAGTCTTCCTCATCAACTAATTCGGGCTCTTGAAATTTGATCCAACGACTACAAACAAGGGCCCACTTTAAATGTTATAATAACTTTAGCCGTTGGATCAAATTTCAAGGGCCCATATTGTTTAATGGGGAAGACTTGGTGGAAAGGATCCGGAGAGGATCCCTTTCCAGGGGGAATAAGGTGCTAAGCTTAAGTCATCTCCAACCGATTTGGCTAGAGGGCCATAAGGCCGAAAATAGCTTGAAATGACATGAAAACCGTCTCCAACCGAAGGCTAGGCCAAATAGCTCGTGGGCCCCACTGGGCTACAATTGTAGAATCGGGCCAACCGGTTGGCCCAAACCAGCCAACCCGAGCCAGTCCAGAAATTTGAAGCCCAACGGCTACTAGTTGACCCTAGCTAGCCGTTGAATTTGATTTTTTTTTTTTTTTTAACAAATTTTTTTCCTATAACTACCTAAGCCATTAAACAACATTAAATAACATTAAACAATATTAAATAACATTAAATAACATCAAACTTAAACAACGTTAATTAACATTAAATAACATTAAACTTATCGACACGTGTCACTCGAAATTCAAGAAGTAAAATTATTAAGATTCCATATCGACAAGAAATTTGTAAAATTACTCACTTATTGACATGTGTCACTCGAAATCTTATCGAAAAATTATTGAGATTACATCTCGGAAAGTTATTGAGGTAGTTTAATTTAAGTAACCATATTAATTCAATTAAAATAATAAATTATGTTTAGTCTATGGCCTTTAGGCCCTCTCGGTTGGAGACTATTTTTTGTCACAGGGCTTTGTTTGGCCTATGGCCTTTTGGCCCCTCGGTTGGAGATGGTAAGAAATATGGTCTGTCACTGTTTATTAAAATATTACTTTCTTGGAGAGTTATAGGGTTAAAACGAGTCATTTGGCCATTCTTCGGTTAGAGATGACCTTAGTGGTGGGATCCTATAACCTATTCAATATTTAATTTCGTTGTTAAAAAAAATCTTAATTTTTTAATATTGAATTAATTTATACATCCAATTGGGTGAGTGGATCCGTTGGCTGCCACGTTAGCAGTTAACAGTCAAATTGATAGAAAATTTAACAGAGATATGACATTGCAAGGAATTCATAAATTAAAGTATGATATTATAATATTTAAAATATGAAGTATGAAGTTGTAGTTCGATCTATAATTAAGATAATTTTGTATAATTTACTTTTTTTTTTTCACGCTTCAAAAGTATTTTCTTGTCATCCTTCTAGTCAATCCAGTTGTTGCTTTAAAAAATTCTGCTGCAATAATGGCGCGTCCCATCCGTTAAACGTTGAGTTCAGTGATTGGGAATTTATAATACAATCATGTTTTGAGAAATGGTCCTTTCATTCTATTTATCCTGGTTGGTATGTGATTGTAACTTTGGTTTTCCTATGTTTTTCTTTCAAAGGCTTCTGTTTTGTTGCTTCATTATTTAGCTGAATTACACTCACTTCTCTGTGTTGTTTTAATAAAAAATTTGTTTTTTTTTATAACAGATCAGGCATAACCTCTAAAACACATTTACCTCTTTGGGCTCTTTGTTGCTCTGACGATAGTTGCATATGCCAAGACATTGATTACATTTTAAATGTGTCATCTTTATTTCTTTAAACCCTTCTGTTGAGTAATGGAGAAATTTCTGCAGTGATTCTACCTTACCACAAGTCTACAAGGATAAGAAATTGGAAGGAGCGAAAGGGAATTGGAAGGAGGTTATTTTCGGCGTCGTGTGGTTGACCGTGTGCGAATAGATAGCTGGAATGATGTATGGCAGAAGTTACATCCGCAAATAGTGAATGATGAGGTTCTGAATGTGGATACAGTACCTGCACAAGTATATTCTACGCTGGCAACTGCAGTCATATGGTCTATGCGGCTTGCGTTGTCTATTGTATTGTGCCTCTGGATTGACAACATGATTGTTGATAATAAATTCCACATTGATGGGAGGATGGATTTTGTATGAGTTTATAAGAGATTGAGCTACTCTACATATTGTCAATTGATTTTATAATGGAATCTCAACTTTCTTCGTGATGTTTAAGAAGGAACCATGCCCTGCCGTTTTTAGGGCAAAGCAAAAGGACCAAAACCCCCATAATACTTCTTCCTTTGTAATCTTATGAAGTCAAAATCATCAGTTCACAATATTTAACAACTTCTAAGCGCGCGCGCACACATACACACACACACATATATATATATATATATATAAAGCCACCATCTAATTTTTAATCCCGTTAAATCTCTCAACACCTTACCAAAGCAACAAACTAATAATAGCATGATTTGCAACACTTTTGTAACTCTTATACAACGCTATCACTAAATATATTTTATTGCATAAGACACCAATTTCCATCTTTGTTGTATTAAATTGCAACAAACTTATCTTTCTTAGACATTATTCAAATTCTCATTCCATGTATGTATCCAATTTCACTTACTCTTTATTTCTCAATACATTTGTCTATATAAATTAATATAACATTAGCCAAAAGTAAACAACTTACAAATTATGCTCAATCTATTTTTAATAATTTTTTTATTTGTTATTACCTATGAACTTTCTTATCTTGTAGCAATGCGAAGGCACCATTTCCTAGTATGTGTGTGTGTAAAGCCACCATCTAATTTTTAATGCCGTTAAATCACTCAACATCTTACCAAAGCAACAAACTAATAATCAATGTGTTGGAGTTTACCCAAAAAAAAAAAAATCAATGTGTTGGATTAAAGCATCTCCATTCACGCTCTCCCACTTTAGATAATTTAAAGCTAAGAAGCTATTTAAAAAGTTTCTACTGCAATCACGTTTTAATGAGTAACAAAACATATCGTGGAGCACAATAGAAGAAGTGATTGGAGATTGATTTTTCTCAGTTCTCCTCCTTATTTTTAGTTCGGAGTTTATTTAGGGAGATTGGAGAGTCTCAGTAATTAATAAATTACAGAAAAAGGTTATGCACAACAAATTACTTAAAAATGCTAAACAATTAGAAAAGATTCACTCTGTCATCAAGTTAAATGAATCGCTTCAACACATTATCTATACTATTATTTATTTTTTTTTCAAAAATCTATACTATTATTTAGAAAACTTTCTTTTCAACTAAAGGTTGAAATTTCATGCCCTTTTACATCTTTAATAAGTTTATAATGGATATAAAATTAAGGGCAAAATAGTAAATAGCCATATTTTACTCTTGTTTTTTTAATTTTTTTATTTATCAAAGATTTTACTCTTCTACTTTGTCCCACTTGCTACATTTTCTCATTTTATTTTAATTTTCATTCATTAAAAAAAAATGCTGTTTTTCATTCCAATTTTTTTTCTCAAATTTAAATGTGTGACTTTTGTCCAGTGTGTTTTAACATCTTGCATCTGAGTTTGAATCTTCCTTTAAAGAATATCACTTGTCTTATAAAAGATAAAGTAAACAAAATCAATATTCAACGGTCTTGCCTCTCTACCTATAAAGACAAGGGAGAAGGAGCGCTGCGGGAAACCTTCAACGTCGGTTTTTGCTGAGCAACAAGTTCGTTCGAAACGTCCTAATTTTGGGACTCTGAAAATTAACTGTGATGGAGCATGGCGTGGGAAATCAATGTTAGGTGGCTATGGGTGGGTGGATTGGGACTTTTGCAGATGGCTGGTGGGGTGGGAGGTGAGTTTTTCAATGATGCAACTATATATGGTGGAAATGGCAGTAAGTCGTGCAGCTTTGGTGACGTGTAGGGACATGCATTATGAGATAGTAGAGATAGAGTCTGATGCTCTATCTCTTATCAACATGATAAATGGAGAATGCTCAATTGATGCAAACTTGGAGTGCTTCATTTTTCATATTCAGAATTTGACATCTTAGATTAGGGAGGTGAAGTTTATGTATGTTTAGCTAAGTGGCAACCTTACTACTCATGCAGTTACTTCCTATGCTACCTCGTGTGGTGGTTCATTCATGTGGGATACTTATGGTCCTGAATTTCTTTTTAATATTCTTGCAGAAGATATAAACGTTTCTATTAGAATTTAATAAAATTTATCTTTTGACCAAAAAAAAAAAAGTATTACTTATATTGCATTTATAACTTTTCTTTTATTGAGGAGAAACCTTTTTTACCTTCCATTTTCATACAAAAAAACTTCCAATTGAATGAATGAGCATCATTTTCGGATCCTTTTTGTGAAGATATTGAGGATCCTCAAATTGTATTTGTTCATCGTATATCGTATGATAAGAAATATTCTAAATACTTTTATTTAAAATTAAACATGAACATGTTATAATGAAAACTAACCTTACGATGTATGATAAACAAATACAATTGAAGATCCCTGAAATCCTCATAAAGAGAATCCGGAAAGCATCCTCATTCTAATTGAATAGACATAAACATCTATTCGCAGTTACTGTCTGACTCCAAGTTGCCGCCAACATTTACTAAAACACATACTAATCAGTGTGGAAATGTGTGTGATTCATTAACTATTTGTGGGTGCGCAAACATGACTGGTCACAAACAGCACAAGCGAATGGAAATAATTACAAGCAGATCAGATCAGACTTTTGGGATCTTGGGTTCAGCAGCTATGGCAACAACAAACGATGCCCAATACTATCTTCTCTACTTCCTTATATGCTATCTCTCGACCCTCTTACTTAGATCCTTGTTCAACAAGTATTCTCCCCAAGTCAGCCACTCAAGTTCGTCCTCCATCTAGCCCACCGGCCCTCCCATTAATCGGCCACCTCCACCATCTAACCACGGCTCACCAGGCAATCTCCTTCCAAAACCTCTCCAACAAGTATGGCCCTCTCCTCCACCTCCGCCTCGGCGCCTCTCGAATGCTCCTCGTCTCCTCCGCCTCCGTGGCCACCGACGTCTTCAAAACCCAAGACCTCTCCTTTGCGGATCGCCCGGCATTTGCTTTCGCGGACGAACTTCCCTACGGAAACTCGGGTTTCTTCGGCGCTGTTTACGGTGACTATTGGAAATTCATGAAGAAGCTCTGCATGACAGAACTGTTCGCACCGCGGCAGCTCGAACGCTCGCGCAATACTAGACAAGTAGAAGTTGGTAAGCTTTGTGAGAAGTTGATCGAGAGTGCTAGAAAGAAAGAGGTGGTTGATTTGGGAAGCGAGCTCATGAAGCTTACAAACAACTCCACTTGCAAGATGGTGATGAGTGCTAGTTGCTCGGAGAATGGCGACGAGGCTGCGAGGATAAGGAAGATGATGATGAGGACGCTACGGCTGGCGACCAAGGTTTCTTATGGGGATGTGCTGGGGCCGTTGAAAAGGCTAGGGTTTTGGCTCTATGGGAAGCAGCTTGCTGACGTGTCGTGGGAGTTTGATGAGCTTTTTGAGAAGATGTTGAAGGAGCATGAAAAGAAAGGGGAGAGAGAGGGCTGGGAGAGAGAGGATTTGGATTTGATTGACTTGTTGTTGAAGGTGTATCAAGATGACAAGGCTGAGCTCAAAATTACCCGAACTCAAATTAAAGCTTTCTTGCTTGTAAGTTCCCCTATCTGACTCTCTCTCTCTCTCTCTCTCTCTCTCTCTCTCTCTCTCTCTCTCTCTCTCTCTCTCTCTCTCTCTCTCTCTCTCTCTCTCTCTCTCTCTCTCTCTCTCTCATTTTTGGTTCATGCTTAGATATATATTTTTAGTTGCAGTTTTGACCCTTGAACTAGCTTATTCTTACTGATTATCCTCACCACCTTCACCACTGAGCTAACACTGAATTGAGTGACTTTGTTTATCTGAACAAGAAGTTATTATAAATCCATCTCTTATCGTACTTTTACATTTTATTAAACTTTTAGATTGGTAATAATCTGGAAAAGAATCCCTGTTGAAGTTTGTATGAGGTTTAGAAATTGAAAACTTGCCCGAAAGTTACTCAACCTGCAGTACGTCAAAGTGAACTGAACAAACTTAAAATCTGAGGAACAAAAGGGGCTCCAATAGATCAGGTCAAAATCCGTCTGCGCTGTGAAGTCGTAAGGGGCAGGCAAATTTGACTACTGTAAAGCAAGCTTGCCTTTTCGTATTTTTTAAGGATAATGTTAGAGAGATTAAATTATAGACAAAATTTTATGAACTAAATAACATGGAAGTTGATAGTTGAATTATTTCTTAAGTGTTGATAAACGTACTCATTCCTATTGAATGACACATAATTTAGTTTTTAAAATAGATTTATGAAGTATCTATCTTATGAGAAATTTGTCATCAAAATATCAAATCACTAATATAAAAGTTTTGTCCTCAATTTGTTTTGTGAAATGTGGAAACATGTGGAACTAATGTAGTCTTTTGTTTCAAAGTTGTGGAGGCCTTAATAATTTGTCTTACTTTTTCAACAAGCTATATTTCCATAGTCAAGAAAATGAAGCAACTCATTCTACACAGACCTTGTTTCTAACCTCCTCACTCATTGGAGATGGAAACTTGGTAGTTTAGACTCTGAAAATGTGGTTTCCCTATTGGATTTATTGCCCTATGGAGTTACTTATCAAACTAGGTAGCAAGTTTGAAACACAATTTTCATTCTTTCAGTCGTCCATTCACTAAAATATATAAGAAAGAAGGAATCAAAACACAATTTCCCTTTTTGGATTTAGTGCTTGATATCAGAAGAAAGTATATTGAAAGATGAGGGATGAAAAAGGGTATGAGAGAGTAGGGAAGAAATAAGAAAGAAGGAATCAAAACAAATTACAACAGTGAAAACGACGTAAAATAGTTTTTTGGTTTTTTTAGTTTTCATTTTTCTGTGCATTTCCTTGTATGTTTTTTCTACACTTCTCACACCATCCTTTATCCAATCTTCTTTCTTCCTATTTTCTCCATTGTTATTCCTCTATATTAATATTACCAACACAAAAAATGAAAACCAAAACCAAAAACGAAATTGTTACCAAAAAATTCTGTAACTCGTAGTAAAAAACATTAACTAATCATGGATGCATGTAATTAAACTGAACAAGAGCTACGTAGCGGCTGTCATACTCATACCCATTATTAGCCGGAAATGGAACAAGTTATGACACAGTATGTCTTACTGATTCAAATTATGTGCTTGTGGTATACTAGGACCTATTTATTGGGGGCACACTTTCATCAACAGAGACCATGCAATGGACGATGGCCGAGCTCATCAACCATCCTCAGGTATTCAACAAGGTCAGACAAGAGATAAAATCGGTAGTAGGCAACGCCAGATTGGTCGAGGAAACCGACATTACGAATCTCCCATACTTACAAGCCGTTGTGAAGGAAGCATTGAGAATGTACCCTCCATCTCCGGTGGTGATACGAAAATGCCGCCAAGACTGTAAAATCAAGGGCTTTGACATACCCCAAGGAGTTACGGTGGCAAACAATGTGTATGCAATTATGCGAGATCCGAAGATTTGGGACAGCCCTGATGAATTTCGTCCGGAGAGGTTCTTGGCTTCCTCTAGTGAAGTACATGATAGTGTGGAATATGATGACCAAAGTAATCAACACAAGGAACAGAACTTCAATTATGTTCCGTTTGGCGGTGGCAGAAGGCGTTGCCCTGGCTCTGCGGTGGCGCTTCTGTTGGTGAACACCGCAGTTGCAACCATGGTTCAATGCTTTGATTGGAAGGTTGGGAGAAACGAAAATGATGATGCAGCCAACAAGGTTAATATGGAGATAGGACCCGGCATAAGTTTACCAATGGCACACACACTTGAACTACTTCCTATCATTCACTTCAACCCATTTGCTTCTTCTATGTAGTTTTTTTACTATGACAGCTCAAAAGTGGCATACAATTGTGTCATGTGGTTATTTGCTTAAATAACAATGAACTCTGAAGGCTCTGTACTTTTGTTTATTTGAATATCTAATCCTCCAATAAATTAATAAGGTTTTTGTTAATATAAAGGTCTCACGCTCATCATGACATTACAATTCGGTTAAAGACATAAGCTGAGTTCGTAATCAATGTATTCCTTCATCCCTAATATTTATTTAGCCGTACAAACTAATATATGTTGGTGTGATTAATTATTTTATTGGATTAAGCAAAGGTGCTTACATCCGCTCTGTTATATAAACAATTAGCTAAGTAAACCATGAAATCCATCTATCTGCCCCGCCAATTCAGTTGACAAGAGAAGCCACAGGTAAGCCGTTTCATAAGAGTCCTTTACTAACTCCAATTGCCTACTAGAGAGTTGATGATGTACATCGAAAAGAACACCATCAATATTCGGGAACGTCTAAAAACAAAGTTGCAAGATAAAAAAACATTAAATATGCTTGTGTACATTATACACATATAATAACAACCCTACCAAAATTGCATTTGAAATAATACTTTAGTGGAAAGAAACTTATTAGGTTTAACAGTCTACTTACCAAAAACGAAAGTTGAAATCTTATTGCGGAAGTGCCTAGCCCCTAAATCTCATCTATTCGATCTTATCTAAAATACAAGGGTAAACAAAAAGTGGGTGAGATTTTATTGTATTTTATTTGGGAAGTAAATAAATGGAAGTGGGTTTTTCTGCTTAGGGTAATATTAGAGAGACTAAATTTGTGGACTAAATTTTGTAAACTAAATGATATGAAAGTTTATGATTGAATTATTACTTAAATGTTGATTAATGTACTTATTTATTTTTTATGACACATACATCATTTAGAAAGGAAGCATGAATTTGTTTGTTAAAAAGGTGGTGGTATTGTTGTTGGCATGTCTTATGGTACTGAGTACTGTGTGTGGAGTACAGATCCTCTCCGGATCTAATAAAAATTGAGGCTTAGTTTTTTTAGATTTGGAGATCAGGATCTACACTCCTGTGTGTGATGCACAATGTGTCTACCCCAGGACGTACATCAATATCAACAATTTACTGCAGACGGATCTTACTCTCCATTGTAAATCTAAGGACGGTGATCTTGGTGCTCATGTACTGCCTCCTCATGGGTCGTTTGGATTCAATTTTCGACCAAATGTTGGGTGTTCAACATTATATTTCTGCAAATTTGAGTGGCGCGGCGGATCTCATTGGTTTGATATAGACATGGAAGACAGAGATGCAAATGAGTGTAGGCACTGCAATTGGTTGATCATAGAAAAAGGTGCATTTAGGTTAGTTAAAGGCAAAGCTAGGCTAATAGATGAGTGCTATGAGTGGAACAAGTCGGCTCCCAAGTTCATCATTTAACAAATTATTTCTGTATTTAATAAGAGCTTCTTTTGGTTAGGAGAGCCATAAATAAAGTCATTATTACCATTTCAAACCTTATATCTCTTATTTTTCTAGAAATATTGATTAATGCTGAGCATTGCTAATTATTTTATTTATTTTTTTTTTTGTTAGAGAGTTAGGAATTCAATTTATGCATAAAGTAGGGGCTTAAGCCTCAAATTTATATTTTCATCACAAAATAATACTTACATGTATTTAGTACAATTACTATCAAAGTGCCAGATGTAACTCATGTGTATATATGTTATTTAATACAATCATTATCTGATCATTGAGATGGTGATGATATTAAATACATATAAGTATTGTAATCAAATCCCAAAATAATATTTAACTTTGAAACACTTAACTCGTATGCTTTTCAACCAAGCATTCATCAAAATTTGTAGCTTTCACGTATATTATGTTGAGTAACGAAATGATCTCTTATCCGACACAAGGAGGAACCCTACTAGTGAAAAGAAAAACTGCAACGTAATGATCTTGTGGTGCTCATTCCGTAAATTTTTTCAATGATCTAAAACGGATATCTTAATTATCATTCATATATCATCTTTACAAAAAAACTGGACAAATCCAAAACCATTAAGACAACTAATTAGAGTGAAGAAAATGGACTAATATAATTTTTCAAAGAAACACTAAAATGACTGTCAGTTAATCAAACGGATGTATAGTTTTCGGATTTGGGTGATTTATGGTAAAGATGATTTCAAAAGAAGACCTAAAAGATAGGCGACTAGATCATTGAAATACATTATGAAGTAAACTCTACAGGACATCCCTCAACTGAAGCTAATTCCTCAAATAAGCTAATGAAAGAAAGAATTCATTCATTCTACAAAGCAGTCATATCTTTTCTAGGTTTGTGCAGTATCTTGATTCATATATAACATTTGATAAGGAAGCATATCTTTGAGTATGTTTATATGATCAACTATCACTCAGTCTAATGCATCGCTCTTTCTAATATTGTAAGAGATCTCAAGTTCAAATCCATCCTCTCGTGATATAGAAAAAGCTCCGTTCGTAAAAAATAAAACTCAATAAAGTAGTGAAATAGAACATTGTTCCACAACCAAACTCGAGCTCATTTTCTCATACGCCACATTGCTCTCGGCTAGTTTCATGTGTGTAGGTGAGTAGCCTTCAGTTTTCCAGCCACGATATGCTGGCAAAAATCAGAAGAAAAAAAAAAAAAAAGTGAACATACTACAGGCAAGTACAAGTGTCAATTGTATCATATCACTGTGCTTTGAGTCTGAGAATTCTGTGCCAGTCCATCGGCCAACCGCTTTTTACAAGAGGGTAAACCTAATCACCCACTCTACCACAGGCTGTATTACATTCATCTCCTGAAAAGGTGGAAACATGTAACCATTTCAATCAATGACAAACATGAAAGAAGAAATGTAAATCTAACTAAAGAAAGAGGGTTAAAATTATTACTGGAAGTATAAACAGCAGAAATCCAAGTTGCAGGAGGTTAAAAGGCTACAATTTTATGAAGACCAGCAACAGCTACTCGCTTGAGGCTCGGGCTCTTGTCCAGGAACAACAAGTTTTGTTCCCTTGAGAAGTGAGGAACTCCCAGACTCTGCTTCCTCATTTGGAATGAGGGACTTCTTGCCGAGGATTCGATAAATTTCTGTTAGGACAGTAACGAATGCAGATTCAACATTAGTGGCCTCAAGTGCCGATGCCTCCATAAAGAAGAGGTTCTCCCTTTGGGCAAACTCTTTAGCATCCTCAGAAGGTACAGCTCGCAGTGTCCCCAGGTCGGACTTGTTGCCTACAAGCATCACAACAATATTGTTGTCGGCATGCGCCCTCAATTCCTCTAACCACTTGGTTACATGATCAAATGATTGAGGCTTGGTTATGTCATAGACCAGCATTGCCCCCACCGAACCTCTGTAGTATGCACTTGTCACCGCCCTGTATCTGAGACCATCACCAGAAGTGTGAAGAGACATACAAACACAAGAAGATGGACTTTGTGGCAAAAAAACAAAAAAAAAAAGAATAAAAGGAGTTTTCAATTTTATACAATAGACACAAATGTCAGTGGTAACTAATTGAAATATATATGTTCTACATGCACACGCAGGCGCACAATTCTAAGACGGTAAAATTTACCAATATTTAAGTATCATTTTGCTGTATTAATATCCATATCTCAAAGTAAATTAATGTCCTTAAGTTCATAATCATCTCCTTCTTTCTATTATCTCTATTTGTAAAATATTAGAATCTCAAGACTCAGACTAGTTCTGGACGGGTTTCAATAAAGTAATAACTAATACCCAGCTTTACCTGAGCACAATTACTTATTATCCTAATTATTCTAACAGAATTTATTCTGATATTAATATTCATCTCGCAGACACCGTTACCTTCATGACTGGTTTTGCTCAAGTAATAATCCAAGCATGAGCAGAATATATTCTATATGCTAGTCATTTGAAGAAGCGTTGTCTTCGTAGCCTAATATGCTGTTTCAAAACGACTGGCTTCTCCTTTCCTGTCACTATCTAGAAAAAAATATATATATACAAAAGAGGCAGTCATCCACTCTAACCTTGTGGCATCATCCATCTCATCCTCTTCCTTTACCTCAACTTCAATCTAAACCTTCATCTCATCCTAAAATCATCATTCAACAATGTTACATATCCTCTGCTTTGATCCAACCGAAATTTCACAACCATCCCTTCAATATCATGGGTTGTGGTTCACCTTATAGACCAGTATCCGCTAATCAAGATCTATGTACACTAATTAATTGAAATCAACCTAGTATTACAGTATATAATCAGAACATGTTTAGTATAACGCAGATGATTTATGTTAAAGACCGGGATAATCTAATCTGGTCATGATTTCTCTTCAATGCCTTGTTTGGTATCTAGGATTGAATTGGAATGGATATCCTACTATAGTCAAGGTTTATTGAAGGTAGAGGTGAATGGTTTTTCCTTAATGAGTAATCCATCTGCTACCTGCACGTTGGACGCCATTTTTTCATTTCTTCCTCCAACATACCTTGAATATAGTGAGTTGTCGATTCCAGTCCAATCATAGTGACCAAACGAGGCCTAAAAGCAATTCTCTTTTGGGCTAAATACTTGTACCAAAGTAAGGATTGCCTTCTAAATTCAGCAAAATCATGATCATTACCATCCACAACTCAAACAAAAACACAAAATCCAAATTTAACCAAACCAAACATCACAAATTGAAAATAACAACAAACCCACATCATAAATTAACAACAACAAAAACCCACATCAAAGAAACACAAAGACTCAATCACCAACGCACCAAATCTATAAAATAGGAAAAAGCGATTACCTTTCTTGGCCAGCAGTGTCCCAAATCTGGGCTTTGATGGTTTTGTGGTCGATCACGAGGGTCTTAGTCTGGAACTCAACGCCAATGGTAGCCTTGGACTCCAAGCTGAACTCGTTCCGAGCAAAGCGAGCCAAGAGCTGAGACTTGCCGACCGCCGAGTCTCCGATCAGCACCACCTTGAACACGTAGTCGATCTTCTGATTGAAATTACTCACCAAATTCGACATCGTAATTCTCTCTGTTCGTCTAAAATGCAAATCTTAACAAAAACCCACCTCGAATTTTCATACGAGAACTCAGAATATGTGTCTTTGTAGGGAGGAAGACCGATCGATCAGTGAGGGAAGATGATCGAATCGGCAATATGTGGTGTGGATGGTGAAAACTCGCAGAGCTGAGCTAGCAAAGAGTTTTAGTTTTGGAATTTAATTTTTTTGTTTTCTGTTTAAGCGTAAACGAAGTAATTAGAAAATTGTAATTAGAGATGGAAGGAAGAGAAATGAAAGAAAAATGTGCAGTTGGAGTTGGAGGGGGAGACAGAGACGCGGACCAACGGCTTTGTTCGCGGACTTTTCCCAAAGGAAAATTTTGATTTTTCCTTGTTGCAATTAATTACAGTTTTCTAGGTATACACTTTTTTTTTTTTTTTTTTAAATTAACGAGACCATATTTTAAATTACTATAATTTTCGATAAAGAGAATTTTAATTCGGAGTGTAAGAGAAAGACGCATCGATCTTACTAATTAGCTTCCCGAATGTCTAATTTCACAAATGAATTAAAAATTAGGTTAGGAACACTTTACACCCCTCTAGTTTAGAGTCATTAACAATTTAGTTTTAATCTTCTTTTTGTGGTTAAACAAAGGGACTCAAATCCTGACAAAAGTAAAATTATAAAATAATGTCACCATGTCGAGAGATTCTAAAAACATCAGACAATAATAATTGCTTATAAGAAGTTGGAGCTTTGCTCCAAAAAAACCGAAGCCAAGGGGTGAGGTAGGCTCATATTGGCTAACTCATCGGCAACAAAGTTCATCTCACGATAGATGTGCAGAATATTAAATTTTTAATCACAGGCGCACGTCAAGTAAGAATTTTGTAAAATAAAAGCCTCGGTTTTGCATTCATGTAACCAAATTGAGTAGCATGTAAAAGAAAATAGCAATTAACTTGGTAGTTTGGCAACTGAAAAAAGTCAATAGTAAATATGGGAAGGCGTTTCTTTTTTAAAATTGATCCAAAAAATCTCTTTCTTTTACACCAAAAAATTTGAAAATCTAAACCATGAAACCCCCTCAACAATGTTGGGTGCTGGTCATTGATTTTGCTTTTGAGAAATGAAACTTCACAAGCCATAAAATGGTGCCTTGTTGCAGCTGGTGGTCGTATTGCTGCTTTTGTTTCCAGGTTAGGTAGTAGAATTAAACTGTAGCGATGCTAGTAACAGAAATTAACTATAACCAAATCGCGCTATTTTCCTTTTTTTTTTTTTTTTTTAGTTTACGTTGGAAGGATCGAACCATAACACATCGTAATCTTAATTCACTTCTGGACTCTCACTCATCCCTTGGACAAGTGCTTTGAGCTAAGTTTTTATTGTGCTTTTGTTACATCATGAAGAACTTGATAACAGAAGCCTAAAAGCTAACATGAAACAGGTTAAAATTCCACACCCAGAATACATCCTACCATTCTACTACTATCTCTCAAGTGAAATAGACCAGAAAACAAAACAGAAATTGCTTTCCCTTTCCTCTCCGATCTTCAACTGCTACCTTTACATGAACAAACCGCGCATGTGAATTTGCATCGAGTCTATTTTTGTTTGCTCGAACAACTGCACTTCGCCTTGGTATCTTTGAGGGTCTGCATTCAAAGTTAGATAACACTTTAGAGGGAAGAAATAGTTGGTCGAAATTCGTGTAGATTAATTCGATTCCAAGATTATATTGTTCATTTGCTGCAACTTTACCTTAACCTGTTTCTGAAGGTCTTTTATGAACTCAACCGCCAAGTCCAACATTTCTGCCGTGTTTATTTGCTGCCAAGAATACAACATATAAGACTCGATCAATTTCAAGCATTCAAGACAAAGACTACAATGGTGATCTATTACAAGTGTAGCAAATACCTTGTCCATGTCCGGGAAAAGATCCTGCAATTTCTTCATTCTTTCACTAATCCGCATCCTTCTCATCTGAAATTCATAGTATTCGCAATCACGGAGTTGATATTATCTGGAAAATATAACATGTAGCAATGCTACTGAATCCATGTGAAGTGTAAAGCAGGTATAAGACTAATGAAATAAAAGAAGATTTACCCTCTCTGCGATGCTTCGCGGGTGAGTGGCGAAGCCTCTTTTGGCACGAATTTTACAAGGAATAGAATCTTCAAATTGCAAGTACTTCTCCATAGCAGGCATCTCAAATTGTTTAGGCAAGCTCAAATGTTGAGTCAAACCGTGATTGTGGTTTCCCAAATCATTGTTCTGATCATAGAAAAACAAACATTACTAATATGATAAGCAAGCAGATGGCCAAGTCAAAATTGAAGAACAAATGTAGTTTACAGAAAAAGTGCAAAGCCTACCTGTGATTTGAATGCAATCGAAGTAGAAAACTTGTTCCCGTCATTGTCCCTGGCTCTTTTGAGGTCATTAAATGAAGAATTCTCCCATGAATCATTTGGAAAGCTAGAGTGGTAATGTGAATTGCTACCATTAGCATCTCCTAAACCATGATTCGGTTGCGGTTGGCTACCTTCTCCCGAGTTCCCATTCTCATTTTCAGCAATCCGAGGCATACGATGTGCGTATGAAGATGGCCTAGATGAGAAATTCAGTTGATTACCCAACCTAGAAGTTGATGGACTGGCTTCTCCACTTACACCATTGCCTGCGCGATATCCCGCCGAGTCTTTCATCACATTGAAGCCTGTTTTTCAATCAAACAAATACAAATTACTAGAGGAACCAGAACAAAATTTCAAAACAATTATTGAAATGTCATCAAATCCATAACCAACCTCTTAATTATCTACTAAATTTTTCTTTATCTAAAGTAGCAAGTGACAATAACCCTCCAAATTCAAACTTTTCTAATCATTTGCAACTTAACATTAATCCATTCAGTTAACCGTAAATCAAATTCTCGGGCAAGTTTATGCAAAGAATCGGCAACCAAAACCAACATAAATCATAACTTTCTGAATTAAACCGCTTTACAAATCAGTCAGCATTTTAACAAAGATATCTATATATTTACATAGCATATATAGAACATGCGACCAAGAGAGCAGCCAAGAAATAGGCAACAAAAATATTAGTATACCATTGTCAACGGCCAAGTTAGGGAAGAATCCAGCCGGAGAGCTACTTTGTCTAACAAGATTAGACCGATTTCCAACCCCAATTTTCGATTGCATCATCGAATTCTCCATTACGGTAGAGTTGACTGCAGCAAAGGAGCTGCTATCTAAACCATGAACTTGTTGAGCTTGAGGAGCTTGGTACATCATATGAGTAGAATTCGAGTAACCATTACTGTGATTAGAAACAGAGTCCCCTGACTCTTCCTTCACATTCACCGGCCTCTCTTCGATTTCAAACTGATGATGCTGCACGCCATTGTCATGGTGATCTGGTTCATTACATGAAGAAATGAATCTGGCTAGCACCGTTTCGACTTCAGGGCTTGACGGTTGAAGATACCGCAAATCCTCAACTCCTCCGCCGCCGCCGCCATTGTTATCCATAAGCTCCATCAGAAATGAGCTTGGAGCTGACCGATACCGCGTTAAGCTGGAGCTCTGCTGCTGCTGCTGAGGATGCTGTTGCTGGAAAATATTCGAATCCATGAACTCCGCAGTGTGGTTCTTCCTCAGCTCTACCTCTGAGGCCTTAAAATTAGGATTGTATTTGTATAAAAGACTGCTCATATCTGATTCTTTTGTGCTAATCTTAATTTCTTGAAAATTCAAATGTTTTGCAACACTTGGATTGCTTCAAGATTCAACAAACTTGGCTTTTTCAGATAAAACCCAGATAAGATCTACTTCTGATTTGATCTAAACCGAAGATAAATCTGCAAAAAACCAAGAAAAATAACCAAAATAAATCCAAAAACATAAATAAATAAAACCCTTTTGGCATGTTGGTTTGATCTTACTCGAAAGATTGAAAATTTAGATTACAAACCTCAGATTACTTGAACTTCTGTAGCTGGAAATGAACTCTCTGAACTTTCTACTTCCAGCAATTGAGAATCTTTATATTTTTTTGTTCCTGCAATAAGATTCCTCTTTAAGAAACAACATGAATTGGGAAACAATAACAAATAAAAAACAAACACAAAAGAGGAAAATTTGAGTTCATTTATTTATTTTCTTTTTTTGGATAAAGAGGTTGTAGGATTTGAGTTGGAACAATTCAAGTACCTATGATGTTTGTTTTCTGAATCTGAGCCAGCAACCAAACAGTCTCCTTCAGAAAACACAGATGAGATGAGAAGCTTTAGAGATGGATTAACAACAAAACTACCAAGCGTCTTGTAATAATGTCTCCTCCTATCTCATCTCCGACTACATCCTATGCATCGACATATATGTACTGATGATGTTCCATAACTACCCCTTGTTTCTAATTTTATTATCCTAATGCCACGGGGGCACGATGGCATCCATTACACGTCAGCACTTGAGTTGACCGATCTACCCTGTGTCCTCAAGCATCAAATACTGGGCCTTTTTGGTTTAGGGTTTCCATTTCCAAGGGAAGCTTTTTAGAGTATGTTACAATTTTTGGGTTATTAATTTATGGGGTTTTTTGAAATGGATCCAAAGTAACTAAAAATTGAACATATTTCAAAAGTCAAAAGTCATTAAAAATTGGACCTATTTCAAAAGGTAATCTATAAAATTGGACCTATTTCAAATTTTCCCTTAATTTTATTTATCTATCTATCTATTATATATAAAGCCAGAGGTGTGATGAACAGTACAGTGGAGATCAGATTTTTGATAGCTAAATTACCTGCATAATTTGAAATATGATTTTGGGTAGGTTTTGAATTTTTTTGGTTGAGGGGCATTTTGGTCCAATTCTTTTGTCAAAGTGGGTGACACCAAAGTTTTTTTTTTTTTTTTAAAAAACAAACGATATTATCTACACTAAAAGGGATGAGGTGAGCTTGACCTCATAATAACTAACAATAATGTAATTTAATCAATTGTTTATTAAATATTATTTTCTCTATACTTAATGTAAATTTTATAGAGACCAATTTTATTATGTAAATTCAGCTGCTTTAATTGGTTTATGAGATGTTATTTCTAGCATGATCTAAAATGATTCATTTACTTTAAATATTTGACTTTTCTTTTGTCAATTTAAGCATATAAATACATTTAAAACATGTAAATTACGCGTAGCACGCTGTGATTCAAAAAAATGTCTCCTGCATGCACGTGAGCGCATGCATGAAGACAAATTATATATAAAGAGAATGAAAAAAGTGAATAGTGAGTTGGTGTCATCATGTTCAACAAAAATATTTGGACAAAAATGCCCTCAAAACAAAAAACTTCAAAGGCATTCCAAAATAATACATTAAATAAGGTAGGGACATTTTCGTCATTTTAACAGTATATCTTTAATAATTCACTGTTTGGTGTTTTTCTCCTTTTTTTTTTTTTTTTTAATTAGTACCTCGCAATAAGCTATCAATAATGTGATTCAATTTCTTTATTTTTAAACACGTTCAAAACATCTTAAGAGGCGTGTAATGCCGGTTATAAAAAAGGTTTTTCGCAAGCAGATAACAATGTGATTAAATAAGTTATCAAATGATTGTTTTTTTTTTTTTAACAAACGATATTATCTACACTAAGGGGGAGAGATGGGCTAGCCTCACAATGGGCTATCAATAATGTAATCCAATCAGTTATTTATTAAATATTATTTTCTCTATTTTTAAACAATTTAAAACATTTTAAGATGTGTGTAATGTCGGTCATAAAAGAACATCTTTCGCACATGGATAATAATGTGATTAAATTAATTGTCCAATGATTTTTTTTTTTTAAATAAACGATATTACCTACACTAAAGAGGAGGGGGTGTGCTTAGCCTCAGAATTTTAGCAATAATATGATTCAATCAATTGTTTATTAAATATTATTTTCTCTATTCTTAATGTAAATTCTATAGAGACCGATTTTATTATGTGAATTCTGCTGCTTTAATTGGTTTATGAGAGATTTCTTCTAGCATGATCTAAAATTATTTATTTACTTCAAATATTTGACTTTCATTTTGTCAATTTACGCAAATAAATACATTTAAAACATATAAGTCATGAATAACATGCCGTGATTCAAAAAATGTCTTCTGCACGCGCTCACGCGTGTGCATGAAGGCTAGTTATATATAAAGCCGTAGGTGTGATGAACAGTGCAACACAATGGAGATCAGATTTTTGATGGCCAAATTACCAATTTACCTTTGCATAATTTGAAATATGATTTTGGGCAGGTTTTGAATTTTTTGGCTGAGGGGCAGTTTGGTCCAATTATTTTTGTCAAAGTGGGTGACATCAAAATTTTTGTCGCATGTGTAAAGAATAAAAAAAATGAAAGGGAAGAGAGAAAATAATAAACAAATGACAAAGTTGATGGTGTTCACGTAATATAAAAAAAGTCTTTCACATGCGGATAATAATGTGATTAAATAAATTGTCAAATGATTTTTTTTTTTATGAAACAAACTATATTATATACACTAAGGGGAGGAGGTGGGATTAGTCTCACAACGGGCTAAAAAATAATGTGATTTGATCAGTTATTTATTAAATATTATTTTCTCTATTTTTAAACACATTCAAAACATTGTAAGAAGCGAGTAATGCCGGTTATAAAAAAAAATTCTTCGCACGCGGATAATAATGTGATCAAATTAATTGTCAAATGATTTTTTTTTTTTTTAAACAAACGATATTATCTACACTAAGGGGAAGGAGGTGAGCTTGGCCTCACAATGATTAGCAATAATGTAATTCAATCAATTGTTTATTAAATATTATCTTCTCCATTCTTAATGTAAATTCTATAGAGATCAATTTTATTATGTGAATTCAGTTGCTTTAATTGGTTTATGAGAGGTTACTTCTAGCATGATCTAAAATGATTCATTTACTTCAAATATTTGACTTTCCTTTTGCCAATTTACGCATATAAATACATTTAAAATATGTAAGTCGCACCTAGCACTCCGTGACTCAAAAAATGCCTTATGCACGCGCATGAGCGCGTGCATGAAGGCTAGTGTGTTATAATCTTGATGGATTACTACTCGCAAAATTTATATTTTAGGGTATAATATTACCAAATGAAATATGTATAGTAAAATAGGTAAACTAATAGTACTAGATGGTGGTGATACCGTTATAAAAACAAATTGCTTGAGAAAAGAATTAGTTGGGACGGTTAGACCAGCTCGCTTATCAGGCACTATCATGAATTAGTGTGGTGCAACTTGGATTGGAGATTCTAATGTCAACCTGAAAATTTTGTTCCAAATTCAAGAATTCCCAATCGGAACATTTCTAACAAAGTGGGAGAAAAATTGGAGTGTATCTAGAGAACCTAAATTTCTGATCTAATTTAATTTGAAGTTTGCCAAACTTATTCTGGTCCCAAATTTTGAATAGGTATAATTTTTCACTAGTTATAAGTATCCCGTGATCAATTTTTTATATTTTTATTGTTTCCATTGTTAGTTTTTCATCTATGTTTTATATTCTTATAAAAATACTTATGCACTAACAATTAAATAGAAGTATGCATGTTTAGTTATTCATACATGTTAAATTCTAATCGACGGTTCTGATAACAAATAACATTCTTATGACGAACCGTTCATTTGTTTTATGCATATGAATAACTAAAATATCTTAAAATTGAATAATTTTTGCATACACGAATAGATGATGCTAAAGAGAATAAATGGTTCCGATTATGATGTTTGAATAGTAAAGTTCATTAATCGTAAATAGGGGGACAAGTAACTCTTCCCTATGAGGGGACATAAGCGTTAACCATATTTTATGTTAGTTTAATCCTTTGGAAGTTTAAGTTTTATCTTTTGGGAGCATTTTTGCTCACTATCGTAAATATGGTGTATGCTCACCATACACCTAATTAGTTGTCCTGTGTCATTTCACTTAACTCTTGTTAATTTTTTTTCTCAATTATTCTATTTTCTGATGTTAGCAATGTATAGGACTCAAATAGGACCATTTTATTCTCGAGACCTTTTACTTTTTTTCAATGTTGGAGTTAGAATTAATTCCAATTTATCTACTTCTATCCATTGGGCGTGCGCGGGGTTGGGTGGTGGGGGGGGGGGGGAGGAGTAACGCTTGTAAAGCAAACATGAGATAATTCAAGTTGATTATGTTTCGTCTTTCCTCAGAGAAAGACGAAAATCAACGCCACTATTCCTAAACAACTTAGAGTCAAGTCTTCTTTTCGCACAATTATAGATACGAAAATAATGGAAATAGGATTGACTGTGGATTCGAGCCCTAGCACATGGTTTTAGAAAACCGCACGATTTTCCCGATCAAAATAAAGTAGGTTTTACATGAAGAAGATTTGGCTTAGCATGTTCTATTCTGTATGGGTAGGGGAAGAGCTCGGCTCGGTATTCTTAAAAAATATATAGAGAAATCAGAACAAAGTCTAAAAAAATAACATTTATTGTTAAAGTTAACCAAGGTTAAGTAAAAAGACATGTAACAAATAATTAGATATATGGTAAGCATACAACAAAGTTTAAGGTATATGAGTAGATATAGAACAGTTTTCTTTAATTTTGAAAACAATGTTATCCATAAAACTTTAGATAATGAGAGGATAATGGTGGTACATTAATTAGTATAGGGTGCTTTGCTTATGGTCCAAGCGACTCTTCTCGAGTCTAAAACTCTGAGGCTAAAAGTCTAAAACCAAAACCGTACCGTGGGCCACTGTAAACGTATAATCTAAGAAACTTTAATGAAAAATTCTTGGTACTGTTTATTTTAGCAAAAAATCATATTTTTACACTAAAAAGTTAATTTTGGTACTATTCACTTTACCATTTATTTTGTCCTTATCGTTAAAACTCAAAGTTTTCAAGTCATTTTCATTAATTTTCCTCGTAATCCACCAAACTCACCCCTTCTGCTCTTTGGTATACAGAAAGAGACACTAATAGGTGCATGCATATTCATCTCTTCTCTTTGGTCAGGAGTCAGGACTGCTCATTCAAATGATTTCATTGTTCTTTTAATTGAGATTAATTAGCTCACTAATCCATCTACTTATGTTTTATCCTGCTTGTCAAAATATTAATGATAACGATTACTATGTTTTTTTTATTTTTTGGAAAACGATAACGATGACTTTGTTTATTTAATTCCATTGATGCACTTTTAGGTGCCAAAAGGTGGCTACTGTGCTCACGGATTGATTACGTAAAGTAAGCTTCAAATGGGAATCCGAATGACATATAATGCTATTAGGAAAATATTCCCATTTGTGGTCCATTGA